GGAGAGGTTGTACTTCAATTTGTGCAACTATTTCGCTTGGGGGGAAGTGGATTCTAACTAAGTAAGTTCTAATCTATCCATTCATGTAAAAATTATGTAGTTACACGAGGGGTGCTACGGAATTGAACATTTTCGACCCTCATCCAACGGCCTATTGATGCTTCAGGGGCGGTAGTTCATTTACACCCAGTTTTGCGGCAGGCGGTATTTCCTACGTACCGCCTGCCATGCAGGCTATGAGACTCCCGGCCGCGTTTTCCACTTTATGGGGGCATAAGTAGAAAACGCGGAGTCTGTCAAAAAATTGTTTATTTTGCCCAAAGACGATATTTTAATGAGATTCCGCGTTTTCCACTTTATGCCCCGATACACTTGCAGTGTCTTTTCAATTTGAAACTTTGCACTATCCTTGGATCCCTAGTTTAGATTAGTCATTTGATATCAATCTGCGATCACATTGCCACGAACGGTTATAAGGCGCCACGAACCCCTTAATGTCTGTGACGTCATGGACTTCCCCCAAACGGAAGTCAACGTGCATGCATAATACATCTGCCGTTAACCTTGCTTAAATCTATTTAACCTCATTTAATCACGAGAAGTCGTCCTGTGATTAAAGGTCGGTTTCCACTTCAAACGTGACACAGGCTAACCGTGCCGAAATGTATAAAAAAATTTTGATTGGCTAATCCTTCCGTAGTACGCCAAAAAGTTGACTTGCAACGAACTTTTCATTTTTGTACGCGAATACACCCGGAAGTACGTGGATTTTTCAACCTCTTTTCAATCTACGCATGCTCACCAGTACGTTTCGGTACGGTACGCTTGAAGTGGAAAACGGCCTTGAAGGCTGATGAAATGTTTTACAGATCTTCAAATCCTATTGTTTCAGAAAGTTATGACTGCTTCACACTGCCTGTCTGCAACGATTAATTTGCAATTTATATTACGAATTTATGAGCAGTGACTTATTTCATTACATCCCACCTTTCATTAGTCACATACCGTCCCGACATTTATTGTAGACTGGAAACATTCACTGTAAACAGTATTAGTTGGAACCATTTATTGACACTGTCTGGAAACATTCACTCAAGCTGGAAACAATCATTCACTATAAACAATATCAGTGGCGTAGCCAGCCCAACGATTTAGTCCCGCTATGCAAATTTCAACTAATTTATATCACTATTCATTTCTTTAGAAATTTGTTGTGTTGATAGTTTATAAACATGGCAATATTTGCATAGCTGGACTAAATCGTCAGGCTGGCTACGCCACTGAACAATATCAGTTGTTGCTGCGTGACAACGTTTGGCGTGTTCAGAATAATTTGTAATTCTTTCACGTTGTACAGTAGGTTTGCCAGAGTGCGCGGAATAAATACACAACATTTACACATAAATACACAACAGTTTTATTTAAATGGAATTTAAGAAAAGTGCTTCTTTCTTCCTAAAAATTATGGTGTTGGCAAAGTTTTAACCCACAATGCGCTCAGCATATTTACAAAAAATAGATTTTTAGAAAGCTGAGTTATAACCTGCTCGCAGACGTTGTATTTCGTACGCCATTTACTGTTCGGAGTTCTCCGGATTTTCGGAACACTAATTGAATCGAACCGAAAACGGTCACATGACTGTTCTGACTGCCCCTACTCAAAAGTAGGGACAGCCAGAACAGTCATGTGACCGTCAGAACAGTCATGTGACCGTCAGAATAGTCACGTGACCGTCAGAACAGTCATGTGACCGTCAGAACAGTCATGTGACCGTCCGAACAGTCATGTGACCGTCAGAACAGTCACGTGACCATTATTGGTTCGATTTAATTAGTGTTCCGAAAATCCGGAGTACTCCGAACAGTAAATGGAGCAGCCCAACCAATCAGAATTTACTTTCCAGATTCTGGAAAGTGACGTCAGTTGATTTAGGAGCGGATAAATATATAGAGGATATTACTCGGCGGTGCGAAGATATATTGTTTTTAACACGAGAAGATAAAAGTCATCCTCAAGCCACCGTGTAATGTTCTGTTTATTATATAGTCCCAAGCAAAAAATTGTGAAATTTCACGCTCAAAAGGAAATTGTAAAAAGTCACGTACGTGGTCGATATCTTCACCAGTGAAGATATGGAAAATATCTCACCGTGTATTTTCATTATCTCACTCTCTACCATATAATAAAAATAAACATTTTGAAAGCAGTCCGTCGGTTGAATTTTGGTCAAAATTGCACATAAATTGAATTTAAAGATATCAGTTGAAACTTGTCCAGGTAATAAAATGCACCATTAATGATCAGATTCGGATATTGAAGATGTTCGGTTATATTTAAAACGCGGGCAAGATGGTATTATACTGTATGAATCTAGGCCAGACAGCATCAACTGCCGAATATATTTCGCTGAAATTTGAACTTTTGACGGATGTTTATCTTCAAGACAACAGAACTCAGAAAAATTGTATATGATACTGTGGCTTAATTAGAAAGCGAAATATTAGCTTCAAAGTAAACCAATTTTCTGTTTGAGCAACCACTTCTGGATGTAAACTGTAAACACAACACTAACCCGAGAAACTTGTTAGTACGCCGAGATGAATTTTCCAATTCGCTCAAACTTCGAAACGTTTATACTCTAAATTGGCTATACTTTCCTATATGCTGACAACGAGAGCTTAATATTTTAGAAGTTTTTGTGGAAGTCATGGCATATAGGAAGTATCAAGAGCGCAACATTTGGACATTTAACAATTATTGACCATTATTCGCCGAAGGTGAGGTGATTATCGGGGAATATTCGCCGAGACGAAGTCGAGGTGAATATTCCCCGATAATCACCGAGCCTGAGGCAAATAATTGTTTTAGTATTTTTGCACAAGTTTTTTTCAGGTGTTTTTCTTGTCTGAATTCATTTTAATTTCGCTTATTTCTTTATCACTAACTTCAACAAAACGACAAGCCGCCATTTTGAAAATTTTGATTTTGTTATATTCACCTGTAGGTGAATATAACAGATTAATACGTCAAATTTGACCAATCCTGATACACCCGAGTTTCCCGATCGATTGATTGTTTGTCATTGTTAACAAAAAATGTAAATTTCGCCTAGTGCATTGCTTTTGCATTTTATATATTCATCGATTGTTTGCAGAACATGCGAGAAGATGATCACAATATTATTCTATATACGTAAACATCGTGAAGTTCAACGCTATAGTTTCCAAAATATCACGCAAGTAAACAGATTTCAACCCAAACAGTATATTCCCATGCGCAAGGGCTTTCCCCAGTAGCTAATCCCTCACTAAAAGAGTAAAGGCGGCTTCAGGAAAGCTGGTTTCATACGATCTTATACATCACATCTGGCCATCAACAGCATATAGTTGCATGATGACCTTTATAAACACTCCGTCTTTTCCACCTAGCCTTTGAATCAGCGATGCCATGACATCATGTGTATTTTTTTGTCTTGAAAAATTATAGTGGAACATATTTTCAACAGTCTCTTAATACGAGGATTGATGAAAGTAATGTTGGACATCAACTGTTAAAGAAAATGGGTGAGTTTATTTATATGGCTATTAGTGATGCATCTGTATCGGAATATCGGCCCCAATTTCAAAATATGTGGTTACCGAAATTATCGGTATAATTGTATTACAACAAATTTGTACAAGTATTCCACACAACTCAGTGACCCGAATGTATCAAGATAACTTTAATATAATTTATAGCCATATTCAAAGATGTTGAAATGTATACATGTCTGATAAGTGTTAATACATGATTGGCCACTCTAAACTCGTAGTTATGATGAAATTTCTACAGTAAGTCCAATTATCATTTTATAAAAAGATGCTGGCAAAGATAAAACGATGACAACATCGTTGAAAACAGCGCAGTTTTCAGTTCATGCAGTTTGACTTCAGCTAGTTCGCCGAAAAAGCCGTTCATTGGCGGCAAGTTTTAAGTATCACTCTGTTAGCATTTTACTTGTTATAAAAAGCGTTTGTATACGATTTTATACGTTTTGAAGCTTGTACCAAGGTCACATATTTATTTACTGGGAAAAGAGTATTTAAGTTTTTCTCGGCGTGCAGTCCTTTAATACTGCAGGTCACCGACCGCTCAGGAACCAATCAGAATGCTGCATTTTGCAGATGCAAAATTATAATAAATATTTATGATAATACCCATGCATCATTACTGTCTTATGATTTCTCGCAATATGCAGTTTTCTCATTATAATATCACCTCAGTCACAACAAGTAAGGGGCTTCGGTGGCGAAGTGGTTAGCGCACTTGCCTTTCACCTCTCAGGTCACAGGTTCAAATCTCAATGTGAATTTCTCAATGTGACTCGAACCCAGTCCTCATGTGAAAAGAGTAAAAGTCAACGCTCTGCCGAAAGTCGTGGGTTTTCTCTGGGTATACTATACGGTTTCCTCCCACAGGGAAAGTTGACAGGGTGGGTTAGGCACATAAGTTAGGGGGCAGATCATTAATGAGATATGGACTAATAGCGGCCCTGTTTAAAGCGCCATTTGTAAGCTCACAGTCTACCTCGGTCTGCTTCACGGCAGTTCCGGCTGTAATTGTAATGCGCACTTGATCATATACAAATGTAAAATCGCGCAATAGAAATATTAAATGTTATTATTATTATTATTATTATTAAGTGATACAAGTGCTTTCAGATTGACTCTCACAAACACCGCGCGTTTTCTCCAGGTATACTCCGGTTTCCTCCTGTAGTAAAGGTTATCCACTTCTACCGTATAGTTCCACTCTATATAGTGCGCAGGAAACAAAGAAATAAGCAGCGGTTTAAGTAGAAAACGGCGTTAACACTACCCACGCGGGGGGTTATTCCTTACTTCACCTCTTGAGAGAACAGAGTTACCAACTGTATAAATGAACTTACTTTAATTCGTTCTGATGCTTGTGATGTTACTCTGAGTGTATATCCACACCGGGCAAGCTTGAAAAATATGCCTGTCCACGGTGGGAATCGAACCTACGACCTTTGGAATACTAGCCCAATGCTCTGCCAACTGAGCTACACGGTCAGGTCGGTTCGAGTATGTGATATTTCGGAACAGAATCTAGTTCCTTCGATATAGCTCAGTTGGCAGAGCATTATTGGGCTAGTATTCTAAAGGTCGTAGGTTCGATTCCCACCGTAGACAGGCATATTTTTCAAGCTTGCCCGGTGTGGATATACACTCAGAGTAACATCACAAGTATCATATTCACCTGAGTACATTACACCAACACAGAAAAAATCATGATTACTAGATTACATTGATATCGAAGGTCCGAAATATCACATACTCGAACCGAGCTGACCGCGTAGCTCAGTTGGCAGAGCATTGGACTAGTATTCCAAAGGTCGTAGGTTCGATTCCCACCGTGGACAGGCATACTTTTTCAAGCTTGCCTGGTGTGGATATACACTCAGAGTAACATCACAAGCATCATATTGACCTGAGTACATTACACCAACACAGAAAAAATCTTTAATTCATTCTATTATACACGGATTGTGTGGGGAAATGTGTCCTATTCTATTTCTAATTTTAAAACTTGCAATCTAACTTGATACAACTACGTATACTCGCATATTAAAGTATCTGTTGCTTTTAGTTTTATCTTGGGATTGATGAGGAAAACGTTGCATTTTGTGCGCACTGCGCAGAGAAATTGGGAACGGAATTTTCTGATCATGGCCATATATTAGTTTGTATCAGGGTCAGTTTTCTCAATTAAAATTTACTGTGATGATGTTTCATGCAGGTTGGGAAGGTGCCGGCCTAGGAAAGTCAGAACAAGGAATTCAAGATCCGATTAAACAAGGAGAAGTCAGAGATAAACAAGATATGTTCAAGGTAAGTAATCTGACAAGTATAAGTAAGTAACTATTGGTACTAAAATACCACTATACTTTTCATTCGTTCTTGCGTTGCACGCCTTGGATAAATGTGTATCGCGACTCACTGTTGAAAAGACATATCAGTAATAGTATGTTCACTTAAATCACCACGTCGTAAACAGGACTTTGTTATTGCTTTTCTAAGATCTCCACAAAAATACAGGTTAAGAACAACATTTACAATCGTGCTTATATGAAGTATAGCGGGAGCAATAGCGTTGAGGAATGGTGACGGATAGGCAGAGGTGACTTGCATGATGCTGACGATCGTTAGGGGCATCCAACACACGAAACAAGTGGTATTGATCCAAATTACCAGCAAAGCAACTTTTCTTTCATGTGCTGTAAAAGAAAAAATATATAGTGAAGATTATCATTATACAATTACTTTATGGGTTCCGTGTTTGGATGGCCTGATCCAAACACGCGGGAATGTTGCGAGAGTTAAGAAAACAACTTTCCGTGTTAAAATTTCACTTTAAAAAACTTTCACTGTAAATTTCCGTATTTGGATGGCCTGATCCAAACACGGGTTTCGACCAATCAGAGCACGCGTTATATACATGTTATTTTATAAAAGATTATCATAAGATTATTATAATCTTGAAGTGTCTGTGCCAGTGTAGGTAGTGCCAATATAAACAAACTTTCGTTGGTAGGTATGCAACTACCTGAAAGATATAAGGAGAATTTCGACGTTTCCAGCGAAGGCCCTTCGTCTGGAGTTACTACGAAGGACCCCTCATGAGCGCCGTTTACATGAGACACGTAAAATTGCACGCATCATGTTCATTTTCCGGATCGAAAATCATTCTATTTTCTCCCTTGTATTTCGAAAAGATCTGCAATCTACAATCAACTAGCCTTGCCTATTGATATTATGTGTTATATCTACGTTTTTCCAACCCTAACCAGTTCGAAAATATTTGCATGGTGTTTACATTCATCCTCCCGAATTTGTCCCGGTGTCACAGGAAATTTGGCCCCCCGAAAATTTCGCCCCCCCCCCCGGGCCAAATTTCCTAGGAAATATGGGCCCCCCTTCGGAAATTTGGCCCCCTCTAAAAAAATATAGTTTACTTTATCTTTTGGCTCGGAAATCGCAAAGCTTCTACTAAAACCAAATTTCTCAACATTTATAGTTAGTTGCGTATATTTTTTTGTGTCAAAACAAAATTCTTCACTGAATTGCAATACTTTCGAAAATTAGGCCAAGAGAATTGCTTACAACACTGACGGATTTTATGTAGCTGCTGCATGTAACCTTTGTTTTTTTTACGTGTTTGCGGAATGTTTTTGTGAGTCATCCAAAGTTTGCGGAATGTTTTGTTAGTCATTCAAACCTTTGTGATTTTCTGTGTGCGAATGTTTTTGTGAGCCATGAAGCATGCAGTCTACTTCCGTTTTTACGGAATGCTTCTGTAATGCGTCCCAACCATATGAGCGATTATATATATTGTGTATATGTAAGTATAATGCATAGAAAAAGTTTTTTTACGAAATAACCACTCATTTGATTTTGTTTTTCGAACAAACGTTTCCACTTAAGGAGGCTCCCTACAGTTGCGTGCGGGATGTTCGCGGGACCAGTACGTGAACTATGCCACGCAACCGCATGATCAAAACAAAACAAAAATTGACCACGCTTTTTTTAAAAATAAAGCTATTTCTGAAAGGTTTCGTTTTGAGTGTCAAATCACTTGCGAGTCTATACAGCAATTCTACATATGATACGAATATCACTAGACCAAAAATAGCTACGAAACAATGTTTTTTAATTTTTTTAAATATACACTGTCAACTGTAAAACATTTGCAAAATTACACTCAAACGTTTAAAAAGTTATTTACTTCTCAAGAAAACGTTCACGTTTTTAGTCGTGTTTCTACAAGATTAAAGTGATTATATGTAAACAGAAAAATATTTCAGTTCCATAGGCATAGCCTAATTGTTCATTTTTAGCAAAAACTGCCAAAAAGTACAAAACCAAACATGAAACAAAAAAACACGTCCACCTGTTAATAGGCTGTTACAGCTCATTAGCTTCAACCTTGTTTTCATCGATTTGATCCTCCACATTAATCCTTGGCTGTCCATGGCACTCAAATAAATCGAAAAGTTGACAAAAACAAAACAGTAAAAACAACATTTCCGCTCGACTTTGCTGAATGAAAACTCGTTCTGCGCCCGCGTACAATCTTTTACTAGTCAGCGACGCTTTTCAATAAGGGGAATTTCTCGAGTTACACGAGGCTATTTTCTAACTTTATTTACATTTTACGCATTAGTTTCATCCGTGACCTATCTTCAAATTTTGACCACGAATTTATGTTGCGGTAAATTATATAAATTTCAATTTTTAAAAAAATCTGTAGTGTGGAAATTTCGCAATAAAATTTTCGCTTTTAAAAAAATCACACACTACAGAATTTTTTTAAACTTTCACCACAGTTGCAGAGCATCATTCCCTATTGATATATGAAATAAAAAAGATGGGTCACCGACATCGTTTTTGAGATAGCGGCACATTTATGGGTTAAATTGGAAGGTTTTGTGCTATCGTCATGTTGCCATGGTAACACTGACGTTGTCGAAATCTAGTTCGAAATATTCCTTAGGTGACCAATATTGTCACCAAGTCGAAACGAATTCGCGTTCTGCACAAATAATCCTGTTTTACGGAATTATTGGGTAAACAAGAATAACTGTAGGGAGCCACCTTAAAGTTAAAAGTCTACTTTTACCCTAATGTTAATTAGTACTCCCTGTTATTTATTAGACGCGTGTATATTAACATATTCGCCAACGCATGATGTCATCAAAGTGCAGTTATTATTCTGACTAATTTTATACTATGTGACTGAATTTTATAGATCGAAATAACTTGTAATATCTTAGAAATTCCTATCTCTAAAAATCGTTTCGTGTCCTTAGCTTAAAGCTAAGCCATTAGGCATTAACGTTGCCCTCAACAGATACCCATGTGTGATGTGTCTGGCAAGACGGCACTAGCACATTATTATTATTACGCTTTCCTTCAAACTTTTCGTTCTTGGCCGCAATGAAGAATTTCGTCACAAATAAATTATGCAAACTAACTATAAATACTGACAAACACTTTTAGGATCTTGGTTCTAGAAGAAGCTTCACGATTTCCGAGCTAAAAGCAATACAGGGTGTATCAAAATAAACGCAATTCATCTTTTGTGCTTAATAACTTTCGAAATACTATTTCTAGTTAAACGCTTTTAGGCTTACTTCAAAGCCTGTTCTTTTCTCTTTCAAACAAACTATTATCCTTGTCTCCAATGCTAGTAATAATTGCACAGGAAAAGATTTAGTAAAACCTATCATTTTTAGTTGCTGTTTAATTATGCAAGTTTACTATATTATTGTTTAGTCGGTTTAAATGTTAGAATTTT